ACCCTCCGCCCTCCCTCTCTCTCTCCCCCCTTCCGCCGGGCTCCCTCCCCGGGTGGCGGTAAACTTTCCAGGAATTGAAGCAAGCGGCCCAAAGCCAGGGAGCGGTGCCCCATGTGGGCCTCCCCGGGCCGCTTCTAAACTTCTCTCCCTAGCAGGATGGGGCACGTGCCAAGGAGCGCGGCCCCTCCCCAGCTCACGCTAATTCTGTCCCCAGCTGGCATGCCCTCCCCCCCCCCCCGCAGGCTGCCTGTTGCAGCTCCTGATGTTAGTGGGAGAGCTGGGGGGGGATGTCTCTTCCCCCCCCTACCCCGCTTGGCTTCCCAGCCTGTTTTTTCCCGGGAAGACCCAGCAGCTCCTCCCTCCCGAGGCCGCCGGAGAGCTGCTCGCGCTTCCATCTAAGGCAGTGTTTCTCAACCTGGGTAACTTTAAGATGGATGGACTTCAACTCCCAGAATTCCCCAGCCAGCAAAGCTGGCTGGGGAATTCTGGGAGTTGAAGTCCATCCATCTTAAAGTTGCCCAGGTTGAGAAACACTGATCTAAGGAGCGGCGCTGGGCGGCCTTGCGAAATGGGCCCCGCGTGTCCCTCGGTCCGGGGTGCCTGCCCAGAGGGCCAGGGAGACCTGCGGGCCAGCACCGCCAGGGGAGCCTGACGAGCCTCCTTCGGCTCCTTTGCCCAGAGGGGGATCGGCTGGTCCCGGGATGGGGAGCCCGCTCCCCAAGATAAAACGGGAAGGCAGCGCGGCAACCGAGCAAGAGGGGGTGGTCGGAGGGAGAAGCAGAAAGGCGCTGCCTTCCACAGCTGCCACTTCCTCCTCTTCGCTCCCACCCCAGGATCTGACGGCGCAACGTTTTCTGGTCAGGTTGCTGCCCAGATGTCAGTGGCGACATTACTGGTGCCCGTGCAGGCCTCCTCCCCAACACGGCAGGGAAAAGCAATGGCCTGAGGGATTTCCGCTGCTTTCATGGTGCTGGTTACTGTCCCGCCTGCCTTTGCCAGTTCCTGCAGAGGGTGGCATCAACCCAGGCTAAACACAGCTGGCTCTGGAGAGGCCAACCCGGAGTGGGCCTGGCGGGAGGGACAGGGTGCCAGGCTGATTTCTTGTAACTTGCCCGGCCTGGGGAGAAGCTCTGTGGGCGTTTCAGGACGAGCCCCCTCCTGCCAAGAGATGAGGTCAGTGGTTGTGTATCACACTTTCTCACAATCGCAAGGTTTGATGAATAAGCCACAAACGCCCATTCCTGGTCTCATTTCCGTGCCTGAGTTTAGTGGCCTGCCTGGTGTGGGTAGGTTGAGAGAAATCCACCTTCTGCCCACCCCAAATTTTGACCCACGGAGGGGATGCAGCTTTTGGACTCGTGTTCAGAGTCCTGTGCTAAAATACTCAGAGCCTGTTTTGTTTTAATTCTATACGTCTGACTGAAACTGGTAAATATCATTTACTTTCTTCTTGGGCCAAACGAAAGAAGATCAAGTAAGCGATATAGAATTTTTTCATGTGTTGGATAAGGCAAACACAATTAAGAGGGATTTAACTATTTGTGTTTTAAACGCTCTGCCTCTTTCTATTCCTTCATGCTGATTTGTGTGAATTTATAGTGTATTCTTGACGTTCCGAGCAGAAACATTTTTTCAGAATCTGGTATGGAAATGACAAGCTATCCGTTGTCAAAGGAGGATCCCATTTTCTATCATTTCAGGCACATATCGCTGGGCATTTATTTTTAGCACTGGTTTTTCTGGGGGAGGAAAGGAGGAATTTAGAAAAGCCAGTGTTTACTGCAGCTGATGGGCCATGGATCTGGGGCTTACCCTCCTGCTCTTAAGGCTTTTATGTTATACAGGAATGACATCTAAAAATACCTGGTAGATCTTGACCTGGGGGGGCGGGAAGGGGGGGCTAGGCAAGGCTTTTCGCTCTGGGCTAGCTGATTTCTGAAGAAACTCTTTACAAAAGTTTGCATAGAACTTCAAGCTGTGTCCAAAGTGGTTCCTGGCATGTTCTTCGCTTCGGCGCCAGCATCTGAGTGGCGGGACAGCTGGACTTGCCTTTTAGCCAGGGATCCAGGAGGGAATCCATTCAGACCCTGAAGCTGGCCTGTATTTCTAGAAGATATGTTGAAGGCAGGCGATGAAATTGACATTAACTATTTATGTGACCCCGGGGACAAGCAGCTCGTATCTCCTGTTCTTGTAAAACAGTGTGAGGGTGCTTTAAAGGATGTAAAATTAGTTACATTTGATCTTAAAGTGAGGTTAATACAAAGAAGGTGGATGGACAGACAGAGAGACGGACAGACAGATAAGGATAGGGAGAAAGAAGTTTGTTGGGTTGATCTCTCTGTCCTGCTGTTGACGTTCAGAGTCAAAACTAACCGATCCGGCCTGACCTCATCCTATTTTTCTATTATTTTTCTGTTTGCGGTTGAACTCAAGTTTGTTAACAGAGTTTGGAATCAATCAATGTCAGCTGAGGTTGGACATGACCTCATACGGCCCCTTCCTCGGTCTCTGGAATGTTTGAGGACATCTAGAATTGTAGACTTTTTGTGTGTGGGGGGGGCAAATGGCCAAGGAAATTATGCAAGCCCAGAGAGACAAATTTGCATCTGATTTTCAATGAGAATTATGGATACACATTGTATGCCCCCGATGCTCTTGGCTCCGGAGGACAGGACCCAGCGTGGTGCATAATAATAATAATAATAATAATGATAATAATACTACTACTACTAATAATAATACTAATAATAATAATAATGACAAAAAAGTCTGGATAGTGGACGTGGCAGTGCCTGGAGACAGCAGAATAGACGAGAAAGAACTGGAGAAGATAACAAAATACAAAGACCTACAAATAGAAATAGAAAGATTGTGGCAAAAGCAAGCAAGGGTAGTACCAATTGTAATAGGTGCAATCCCAAAACAACTGGAGCACCACTTGAACACCATTGGCATTGACAAATTCACCATTAGTCAATTGCAAAAGGCAGCCTTACTAGGAACTGCTTCCATCCTGCGACGATATCTGTAATACCGTCAAACATCCACATCTGCCTATCCCAGGTCCTGGGTAAGGACTCGATAGGTAGACAAAATGCCAAATCCAGTCTGAACATCTGGCTGACTGTGCGATGATCCATAGTAGTAGTAGTAATAATAATAATAATAATAATAATAATAATAATAATAATAATAATAATAATAATAATAATAATAATAATGATGATGATGATGATGTTGGAAGGAACCTTGGAGGTCATCTAGTCCAACCCCCTGCTCAGGCAGGAAACCCTATAGAAGAGACTGTCCTTTAAATTCCTGGGCTGGGGGTTGAAATGAATGGTGTCAGGGACCATGTTCAACTCCAGGACTCCATGAGTTCTGTTGTTTAAGTAAAAGACTCTTTAGTAAATTGGCAAAGGAAAAAAAAGTTATTTTGTGGGTGAAATGTCTGTGGATCTTCTCACTCCTCCAGGCCATGGTTGTCCCATAGCTGCTTTTGCAAAAGGCCACTGGATTTTCTTGGGGGTTTTTTTCCCCTTGAACTGAACTGAAGAAGCTTCTTGGATGAGAAGCAAAATGTGTTCAAGGGAAAAAAAAATAAAGTTGTGGATGAAATATTTTCCAGTTCTTTTAAAATACTGACGAGAAGTCACATTGTTCATATTGTCACACATATATTTTCCCTGTCCATTTGCGTTAACCCTCCCCCAATCTTTAAACATGTTTTGGGGTCAGGGATGTGTGGACAGCAGGAAGGAAGGAGACTGTCCAGAGAAGAAAAAGCAGAAATGGAGAAAGAGAAGTGACATAATACGTTGCAACTGTTTATAATTGTCTTATGTCACTGGTTTGAGATGGGCAACTATAGAAATTGAATAAATAAGTAAGTAACGGGTGCATTTCTACCTGCTCCCATCTTTATTAAGCAATTCGTGGCGCTGGTCAGCCAGAGGGGAAGAGGTGCCAGGCCAGGGATGTGAGGCTGGCGGTCAGGAAGGGCAGCCAGCAGCCTCACTGGCCATGGGCTGCCCTTCACTCAGCCTCAAAGAGATTCTAGGCTGGCAGAGGGGGGGGGCTTTTCTTGGACACTCCCAGTGCTGGAGGAGGGAGAACTTGCAGGGGGTGTAGTGGGTGGGTGTGTCAGCAGGGGGGGCTTTGAAGAAATGTGATTCCAGGAGGAGCAGCAATTGGTTTGAGGGCTGGATGGGCAGATGTTCTCTTGGCTCAGAAAGACGTTCCTGTGCCTGCTGCTGGCAAGGGGAGCTGGACTGGCACCAGGGTGAGGAAGCCCTCCCCCTATGCCTCTTCCCACCTGGAATAGGCAGGGCAGGTAGCCCCTTCCTATTTTCAAAGAGCCCCAGAGCAAGCCACCTGCTTGACACAGACCTAGCCAGATGGTGGCAGACAGGTGTAATCGGACCCGCCAGGTGACCCGTGTCTGCCTCCCTCCTCCAGCGTGAGCGGAGGGCCCACCAGCCCCTCCAGTGACGTCCCTCTCTCTCTCTCTCTCTCTCTGGCCCAGGAGCTGAGCCTGCGCTGGTGGGGCTGCTGACGGGATGCCCCTCTTTGCGCCATCCGCGGGCAGGAAGAACTGGAAGGGTGAGTGAACAGAGCGGGCCCCCCTCCAGGATCTCCCCTGCTGCCTTTGTCTTCTAAGGTTGTGGGGCGGGCTGGGTGCCTGGAAGCCCCATCTATCAGGAGGACGAGGGTATGTGGAGACCCAGAGTGAAGGAGATGTGGCCCGGTGATGAGTGGGCTTTCCGACACCTTTATTGAAGAGACACCAACTCCTGGCCCAAAGGAAACAAGCACGGAAAGCAAAGCGTGTGCGTGTGTGTGCGTGCGTATGTACCTGCAGAATATTTGTCTTTCTCTGAAAGCATCACATCGCCCTGGACTTTGCCCTCTCCAGCAGGACTATGGGAGGATGTTCTGGCAGGCCCTTGTTTGGGCAAAATTCCCCTGTTTTTTTTCCCATCGTCCCTCTTCTGCAGAAGTTCAGAATCAGGCCCTTCCCCTGGGCATCATGCTCGTAGGTGAAGGCCAAGGTGAGGGGGGGAGGATCAGGGGCCAGTCGTAGTCCAAGTAAGGCGAGGTCTGGGAGAGTTTGAGTTTGCAGGATCCGCTGAGGAAGCCCCACAGAGCAGGGGGAGAGCAGGGCAATGCCACTGCGGTTCCCAGGGTCGCTTGCTCCATGCTGTGAGTCTGGCCAGAGAACGGCAATCTTTGTTCACACTGAATGTCATCGCCTGCAAGAGCCCCATTCCTCCCGGGGGGCTGTGGCCGTGCTTACACCAGGGCACACCCTGAGTGGCAAACCCGACTTCCTTCCTGCTGACTCTGCTCTGCTCAAAGTCACCCAGAAGTTTGCCAGGGGATTCAGCCCGCCCCACTGCTCTTCTGATCAAATGTCCAGGGGAGCAGAAGACCCCTTGGGACTGGATGTCTGAGGACTTCTCCATCGCCTTCCTTGTGGGGCTGGCGTGAAGGCAGCCCAGAGGGATGGACGGGGTCAGCCTGGCCACCTCTACAGCTAGATTTTACAAGCAGGAACTGGGGAGCCCTCTGCCCCTCCCAATTGGGGTACCCCAAAGAGGAGGCCCTCCCTGTTCTTCTCCCCCCCCTTTCATAGTCACCTTGGATGACAGGGAGCCTTCTTTTCGTGAGAAGGAGACTCCCACAAGCAGGAGCCCAAGAGGAAGCCACCCCACAACTGCTGTCACCTGAGCTGCTTCTGGAGCTCCTGATCTGGCCCTATTCCTGGGCTCTGCAGGGCCCCCCCAAGGGGGACAGGAGGCGGGAACTCCTGTGACACCCTTTTTGCCTCACATCCTGCAGTCTCTGCGAGGCCAAAGCCCCACGCCCGTCCTCCCTCGCTGTGGCCACTGAGCCACTCGGGATTTCGGAAGCCACGTGTGACCGGTCGCCTGAAGCCCTTGGCATTTCAGGGTGTTGCTTAAACGGGCAGGTAAATCCTTCTTTGAAGGGCAGTCATTCCCTGCCCTCAGCTCAGCCCCCTGCAAATGTCAGGGAAGGGTGGGGGGAGCGGCGGATTGGCAGTTCCTCCTCCTCAGCTGGTCCGGCAGAAGGAGGGGTCCTGCAGTGCTGGGGCAGGGTGTGGGGACATCACATCCGTTGACTTGGTCTGCAGAGGGTCTTCCCTCAAGAGTCCCAACCCCACAAAGCATCTTTTTTTGGGTGAGGTTTTATTTCTTCGTTTTTGCAAACCTCCATCAAAATGCAGGGGGCACAACTAGTAAGCTGGATTTGTACATTTGTGCCCGCACATGAAGAGTTTGTGAGGTGATGCCCTGAAAATAGATGGGGGAAACCACTCCCTCCTCCCCCAGCTCTTGAGGCACTGGGGGAGGGGGCTGGACCCTGATGGGGGGGTGTCTCTCCTTCTTGCGGGAAATGAGTCAAGTGTTTGTGAGGAACAAGGGCACTGCCACAGAGTGGCTGATCCATTGCTGTGCCAGCCGCCTGCAAAGGGGACCCAGGCCAATGCCCAGAAAGCCCCTTTGGGGGCCCAGATGTGCCCCCAAATTTCCAGACTGCCACCAGCCCTCCTCCTCGACTCCTTCCATAGAGACTTGTCCTGGCCCTGTTGGGGGAAGCCAGGAAAGGGGCAGTGTAGTTTGAGTCACACCTTGCTTTGTCCAGGGCAGCCCTCAGTCTGGCAGAGAGGGTCACAGCGATTTGGGGCCACATAAGCCCTGGTGTGAAGCAGCCCCCTCCCCATTGTGCCCTGGAATCTGTTGCTTGTATTCCCGGCTGATCCCAGATTTCTCAAACTCCTGAGACAAACACATTCCCACTTGGAATACTGCACACACTTGGAATACTGCATCCAGTTTTGGTCACCATGATGTAAAAAAGATGCTGAGACTCTAGAAAGAGTACAGAGAAGAGCAACAAAGATGATCAGGGGACTGGAGGCTAAAACATATAAGGAACGGTTGCTGGAATTGGATATGTCTAGTTTAATGAAGAGAAGGACGAGGGGGGACAGGATAGCAGTGTTCCAATATCTCAGGGGCTGCCACAAAGAAGAGTCATGCTATTCTCCAAAGCACCTGAAGGCAGGGCAAGAAGCAACGGGTGGAAACTAATCAAGGAGAGAAGCAACCTAGAACTAAGGAGAAACTTCCTGACAGTGAGAACAATTAACCGGGGGACAACCTGCCTCCAGAAGCGGTAAATGCTCCAACACTGGAAGTTTTTAAGAAGAGACTGGACAGCCATTTGTCCGAAATGGTATAGGGTTTCCTGCCTGAGCAGGGGGTTAGACTAGATGACCTCCAAGGTCCCTTCCGGCTTTACTACTACTACTACTACTACTACTACTACTACTACTACTACTACTACTACTATTATTATTATTATTATTATTATTACTACTACTACTTTGGGAAGCAGCAGGAGCAGACAGTGGCTCTCCCCAGGCAGGCAGTCAGGATGCCCCAAACCCTCCTATGTTTCCTTGGCCATACAGTATATTCTGCTTTTGGGGCATGCCATTCTGTTGGGGGGAGGGGGAGCTTGCATGTACTTGGCATAACTTTCGCTTTCTATATTCCCCTCCTACCTCCTCCCCCTTGAGATAGGGATGGCTCTCCCTTTATCAGGGAGAGGGTTGCAGAGAAACGAAACTGGAGAAGACCATTGAGATGCGGGCCAACTGTGCCAGTTACCCGCTCATCAAACCACCTGTGGATTGGCTGGGTTTCAAATGAACATTATGACTTTGATGGGAGGAGGAATATTGCTTGCTTAACTCTACCGTTTCGGCAGGCTTTTCCCCAGATCTCGCCTTGACTTCCCTACTGTCACTGACCCCTAATAAAAGTATCCACAGGCTGTTCATTTTTGGACCCTCGCCCTGTTTTCTGAAAGGGGCACCTGCTAGGAGCCAGTCCAGCCCAAAGACCTGGACGTGGCTGAGAAGTGGGAGAGCCGTGCAGCCCAACAGGCGTGGAAGCGGATTTCTTTGTGGGTTAAACCACAGGCAGAAGCCCCTGGCTCGTGTGACCCGGGGGGTCACTGATGGGAAGGGCTTTGCACCCTCCCTTGGGGGTCTTGGGGGCCCAGCGTGCCTGCCGCCCACTTGTGGGCAGCATTGCAGCCCTCTGTCTCCCAGCTGACCCTTCTCTCCCTCCAACTGTCACCAACTGACTCTCCCTCGGATTCTCCACAGCATTCCAGCCCCCCCCCCCCGCAGACCCTCGCTGCTTCTCTGGGCCCCAGGGTGTGGGGGCATCACCCATCCCCCCCACCCACCCTGAGCTGAACCAGCCGGCTGCTGTGCTGACCATGCTGTCCCCCCACCCGAGACCTCGACTGCCTGGGGCGCCGGCGGCAGGCTGGGCATGACCCCTCCGGAGACTCCCAGGTCGAGAACCCCAAGCGTGGCCCCAGGAACTGGTGAGCAAAGAGGGGGAGGCAGGGGGCAGCGGGGGGGGCAAGGGGAGGAAAGGCCTGTTCTGCCCCCTTCCAAAGCCCCACCTGAGCCTTTATTGGTCTGGAAGGGGGAGGAGCCTCAGCATGAATGGGGGAGAGGCTGCTGGTCTGCCCTTCCCAACTGACTTCTGTGCCAAAAGAGGCTGGGGGGGGGGGGTTGTCAGCAAACAGAAATTTGGACACCCCCCCAGCTCTACTCTGATCCCATTTGTGCCATGGGAAGGGAGCACTGAGGCCATCTTGAACCCACCTTGCTGGGGGTCCCTGGGGTAAATGGTAGCCATGGGCCTCACCCAGGAGGGCAACCATCAAGACTGGGGCAGAGACTCCTGGAAGAGATCCTAGAGCAGTTTCCAGTCCAGCCCCCACCCTCAAGGCTTTTGGAGGCCAATGTGGGGGGAGGGCTTCCTTCTTCCCCTTTGGCCACTACCTGCCTTCCTCCCAAAAGAGTTCTTGGCCAAAACGACGAGCAGTTGTGTGGTTTCCCACACTTGGGAGTCAGTCTGAGGGCTGCGGGCTTCCTGCTTGCCCATTCAACCCGCCCCGCCCGCCCCAGCAGCAGCCAAAGCAGCCAGTCGGTTTCCTGCTTTTCTTTTGAAAAGGATGAATCAAGCCAACTACTTTTCCTGGAACCAAACAAATTGGTGAGGAAGGTCCAGACTTGGAAAACTCCACTTGCCCCTAAAGGGCGAGCCCCTCTCCCTTCCTCGCTGGGAACGGGTGGGCCCCGGCCTTTGGCTCTGGAGCCCCATGGCTGCAATTCCCACCCCCACCCCCACCCGGAAGAGGGAGAGCCCTGTCTGTCTAGGCCAGGGGGTAGGCAACCTCGGCTCTTTGATGACTCGTGGACTTCAACTCCCAGAATTCCTGAGCCAGCATGGCTCAGCTTGGAAACCTCTCCCTTTCCCCTCAGTGTGGCTGGCTCAGGAATTCTGGGAGTTGAAGTCCACGAGTCATAAAAGAGCCAAGGTTGCCTACTTCTGGCCTAGGCCTAGGCCGCTTTATGACTCGTGGACTTCAACTCCCAGAATCCCTGAGCCAGCATGGCTCAGCTTGGAAACCTCTCCCTTTCCCCTCAGCATGGCAGGCTCAGGAATTCTGGGCGTTGAAGTCCACTAGTCATAAAAGAGCCGTAGGGTTGCCAGGTGTCCACTATTTGAGTGGACAGTCCACTTTTTTCACATTATGTTCACTATTTTTTTTCACAAAATAGTGGACATTTTTTTTTATTCAAAAGCTTTATGATGAAATGGTACGTAATCTAAAGCTGTACAGTCTACTTTTTTTACTACTTAACCCCCCCCCCCGCTTATCCGCTATTTTTTGGAAGCAGACCTGGCAACCCTAAAGAGCCGAGGTTGCCTACCTCTGGCCTAGGTCTAGGCTGCTTTATGACTCATGGACTTCAACTCCCAGAATTCCTAAGCCAGCATGGCTTGGCTTGGAAACCTCTCCCTTTCCCCTCAGCATGGCTGGCTCAGGAATTCTGGGAGTTGAAGTCCACGAGTCATAAAAGCGCCACGGTTGCCTACCCCTGGCCTAGGGCAAGAGTCTTGCAGCACCTTGTTTGATCAAAGCCTGCCACTCAAAGGCTCACCCTAACCCTACCCCCCCCTCCCATGTCAGAGAGCTGCAGCCCCTGAAAGCCACCTGAAACAAGGCAGAAAAATGCTGCTAGCTCCTTCCCAGTACTCCCTTGGGGGTCTCCTACACCCCCTTCAACCCTGGACTCTAGCAAGGTGCAGGCCAGGCATGGCTTGGGCCTTGCTGTGAGGCCGCAGCTGCATCCGGTCCCAACTCAGTGCTGATTCCTCCCTCCCAGAGACGCATCCCAAGTGTTGCCCCCCCCAACCCACTTGAGATCTCTTTGCAGGAATGCGAGGAGGGAGGGGGGGAATCCTCCTGCTCCAGGAGGGGAGGAGCGGGGGAGGGGAGGGGAGGGCACCTGCCGCATACCAGCCCAGGGGCAGCCCCTGGTTTGGGGTCCCTCAGAGAAGGGAGGCTGAGGGGGCATCTCAAAGGGGCCCTGGGGTTTGTTGAGGAGGGGGGGGCAGAGAATGGCACCCTCAATCTTCAAGGAGAAGCAGGACAGTCTTTGGGCTGGACTGGGCAAATGGCAGAGGGTGCAAGCATCCGGAGCGAAGAGGCTCCTCCTCCTGCTGCTGCCATCTGGAGGGGGCAAACTTCCTGGCAGCCCAAATAACAAAGCCGTGCCACCCCCCCCCCCATCAGCAAGAGTCCCAGGTGCTGGGAGGCATCCCTCTGGAGTGCCTCTTCCTCCTGGCCCACGGGGGGGGGGGGGATCGCTCCCACTATTTCCTGGCAGTGAGCCATCAGCCTCCCCCCCTCCCATTCCAGGCCAAGCAGGCAGGAGCATGGGTGCCACCTAGTTTTAATATGTGGCACAGGTCCATCACCCATAAAAGCAGGCAGAGCTTCCTTGAATTAATTTGAGTTATACTATATATGACTTTGTCTTTGGATGATTGATTACCCCATCACCACGGTGTTTCTCTAGCACTTTTATGTAAAACTTAAAAAAAAACCAATAAAACTTGTTTAAATATTTAAAAAAAAGCAGGCAGAGCTTCCAAGCATCAGGGTGGCTACAGTCACCCTGGCTGGAGACATTCCCGTGCCAGGAGCAGCCTTGCCCACCTGCGGATCGGGCCCCTCGTGCCCAACCAGCCAAGGGGCATTGGGGCTGGCATGGCATGGCGGTGCAGGGGAGGGAGGGCTGAGGGACTGCTGGGTGGGTGGGAATATGAAGGAAGGAAAGGAGCTTTGTGGCAAGTGTTGAAGCCGAGGAGAAAAGGGAACGGTGACTCACAATTTCACCCTGTGTTGAGTTGTGTGAGTGAGGCTGTGAATCACTTTCAGTTCTCCTCTCACGCCTTCACAAGCAGGACTGGCAGCTACCCATAGGTTCCCCCTCCTCATGAGCGAGGGACCCCCACCACTGATGACCCTCAGGCCTAGCATTTCCTGTGGGGCAGTTCAGGAGAGGGGGGAGTCAGTGGGCACCTGTGTCCTCCCTTCTATTTATACAAGCTGTGCCATCTGTAGTGCTGGGGGGGAGGCCTATTAAGCTGCTTGCCTGGGAGGTCTGTGTGGGACCAGTCACCAAAAGGGCGGTGGAGGCAAAACAGAAGAGAAATCCTGGGATTTTTCCAGATTTCACCCTCTCCAGTGCTGGAGTTGAAACGCCAAAATCCCTTGGGTGGGATTCTGCTTTCCTAACGGGCAGACAGGTGATGAAGATGAATATGTCCTCTCCCATCTTTGGACACCACCACGGTGTGTGTGTGTGTGTGTGTGTGTGTGTGTGTGTGTGTGTGTTCATGACACCAGAGACACAAGCAACAAAAGGCAGCTTTGCTGTCTTTCCCTGGACATGAGAACCTGGGACCACCCTAATTTCTGCCCTGTACCAAAAGGCTTGTATGATCCTGGGGACTTCTTGGGGTCTCCCAAGAAGTGGGGAGAGGTGGGTATGTGGGGGCTGGGCTATGGGGGAACTGCCAGCCTGCTCTGAAAGCGCTTGCTGGGGAATCTGCAGGCGGGTCAGGCTGCTGTGGCAGGCCAGAGCTGGTCTGGAAGGGCTGAAGGCCATCACTTATTGGAGGCTGAAGAGACCCAGTTCTCATTCTGGGGCCCAGGTGCTGGTGGAGGGGCCACAAGGGCTGCTGAAACTGGACTCAGGAGGGCCCCTAGACCAGCATGGGAATGGACGATGTGCCCCTTGAGTGTGCCAACACCGTGTTTTCCTATGTTGTTGCATGATCTAGTTGAGACTTATATCACCAGGATGGTGATGCCCTTGCAAAACCTGAGTAATGATTGACTGCTCTCTGGAGAGCGGCCTTGATCCCCTGAAGTTCCTGGACATTGTGCTGTTCTGCGTGGGCTGAGTTTGCATTGTGGTAATAAAAATGGCTGGAACCCTTTTTTTTCCTCCCAGCGATATATTGTGTGAACCCCTGCTGAAAGGGGGGGGGGCTGCCTCCTCTTGCGATTTTTTTTTTAATTATTGCAAGCCACCTGGAACAGGAGTCTCCAACCCTGGCCACTTTACAGCTTGTGGACTTCGTGGCTGGCTGAGGAATTGTGGGAGTGGAAGTCCACAAGTTGTACAGTGGCCAAGGTTGGAGACCCCTGACCTGGAAGCCAGCAGCAACGGAGTTATCAGCACCTTAAATGGAATCGTAGCTGGACTTCCTATTTAGAAGCTCAACTCTCCCACAGGCATCTGTGCTATTTTGGGGACTCTTACAAGCAGCAGGATAATAATTCCTTTCTTCCTTTGGAGAATTAACTATTGCTTTGGAGAGAGCAGCATTAATAAATCCCTTGGCCCAAGAGGCCTCCTTCCTAAGCTGGAGTCTGCCCAGTGAGGAGCTCTTCCTGTTCACACTGGAACCAGGATAGATCGGGGGTCTGCCCTCCCAGCTGCTACTGCTACATTTAAAAGTGAGGCAGGGGCACTTGTGGAAGCAAATGCTACCTCAACCCAGAGATAACTTCAAAGGAAGCCCTGGGACATGGGGAGGGGGGGGCTGAGTACTTATTCTTGGGGGCTGAAATCCCAACTGGGCTGGCCTCTGCAGTGCCCCTCCCCCACCTTGTGCTCATCACAGTTGATGTTGGATGAAGACCCACCCTATGTTTCAAGCATAACAGACCTCTGCCTCCCTCCCAGCCATTTTTCCAGAAGCTGCTTTCTCTTCTGAACAACCAGGGGTGATACAATAGCTATCTTTTCAGTGCAATGAGGGGCTTCATGGAGAAGAGGGGGGGTCAATCTGTTCTCCAAAGCCCCTGAATGCAAAACAAGAAGCGACGGATGGAAACTAATCAAGGAGAGAAGCAACCTAGAACTAAGGAGGAATTTCCTGACAGTTAGAACAATTAACCAGTGGGAGAACATGTGAATGCTCCATCACTGAAAGTTCTCAAGAAGAGATTGGACAGCCATTTGTCTGGGATGGTATAAAGTCTCCTGCTTGGGCAGGGGGTTGAACTACTAGAAGACCTCCAAGGTCCCTTCCAGCCCTAGGATTCTATTCTTTCTGTCCAGATGTTCTTCCAGCAGAGAACTAAACCATCAGGGTGGGATGGAGCAGAACGGAACGGCGTGTTCTTTCTTTTGGCGAAAAGCTGGATGGCTGCCTTCCCAGTGGCTGGACGTGAGCGTTCCTCTCTAGGTTTATTGCGCTTCTCTGCCAGATCATTTGGAAGGATCGTGTCCCCCAGCCCCTCCCACTCACCCGCTCGGCAGGAGCCTGGCCCTATGCCTGACAAAGCCCCCAGCTTTGCCAAACAGCCCCATTTGGGCCAGCTCCTCCAGGCCAGGCAGAAGCCAGAGAAGGGACGGCGGCTTCTTTCTTTCCCCAAGAATTTGGGGCAACTCCAGGCAGTGCCTCCTCCATCTGGGACTGCGAGATGGAGGGTCCTCGGCCCCCTCGGTGCCCCTCCTCCCTCTCGCAGGACTCTGCAGGTCCCTGAGCATCGCTGTCAACCCTTGGGGCAAATATCCAGGGCAGCCACTGTCCTTCTGGCGCTTGCAGCTTCATGATTTGGGCAAAGGGAGCTGAGCTGCTTCTTACTTTCAGGCTCCTGTCAGAATCTCTGCATTTCTGAGAGGACGGCCTCAGCTGACAGCGGAGTGTTTCTGGCATCGCTAGACTCTTGCTTAATTAACATTCAGCCCCAGAAACATCCTGCAAAGTTTGTGGCTAAGTTTTTGAAACTTTTTGGATTGCGTTGTCTGGTTGATGTTTTTCCGTAGGCGAAGCAGCTGGAAACTTTGTGCATGTACATGTGTGGTTTCCTTTCTAAATTTTTACTCTCTTTGCTGGCTTGATTACTTTTACAAATTCTCCCTCAATAATCAAGCAAGCCAGTCAAGCCCGGGGTGACCTCCCCCCCCCCGCCCAGCCCCAGTCAGGCTCCCAGGAAGCATCTATTGCATGTGGAGAGTCCATCAAGCTTCTGCCAATCAATGCATCATTATCAGATCCGTCTCTTGTCTCCCAGCACAGCACAAAACGCAGTGGAATATTTGTTCATTTTTGTTAAGCCGTGAATTAGTTTAAGAAAGACAGGGGGGGTCTTCAAGTGAAGCCCCCTTGAGAAAGAGCTTGACTCCCTCCTTCTGCTAGTTTCCTTGGCAGTGCCATGGCTTCCCCACCCACCCATCTTCCCCTGGTTTTCAAGGCTGGTACTCCAGCTGTGGGGGTGCGGGGGTGGGTGGGTTTCCAAAAGCAACTGGGGAGATTTTGTCCAGAAACCATAAGGCTGGTCCTGAGAGATAGTTAGCCAGAGATCAGTTATTGCAGAATCCGCTGCCACCCTGGGTGTGTGTGTGTGTGTGCTCTGCAGTGGCCGATCTGAGAGGATCTGCATTGATCCTGCAGGAAGGCTTATGCGATGGGCTTGGGAGGGTCCTTCTGCTGAGGGGGGGTGTCTACAGGGAGGGGCTTGCCTTGTTCCAAGCCCTGCAGCCAAATGACACCCCAAGATTCCCTTGAGCTCAGTTGCCTCTTGGAAAAAGTATACCCGATACAGAGCTGCCCCCCATCCCTCCAAAAGTCCTGCCCAGCACTGCTTGACCAGGGGGCACAACACTTTCCTCCCAAGATGGGACCCCCTCCCTGCCACAATGAACCCTTCACATCTGCTCCCTGGCTTTCCCACGTCTCTTGCGCTGCTTCCGGGGGAAGTCACCAGGCTGCCCCCCTCACTGCTGGCGGGACAGTTCTCTTTGTTTGCTTATCAAATTTATTTTGTTGGTTTGTTTAATTTATTTGCCACTCATCTCCCTGCAAGGCGCTCCTCCCTCTGTGGGGATTCCTGTGGGGGCCTGAGCTTCAGGGAAGTAGAAGCTGCCTGCATGCTGCACAGAGGCAGTGTGTGTGTGTGTGTGTGTGTGTGTGTGTTGATCAGAAGGAAAGCCACAAGATTTGGGCCCTGAAGGGCATCATTGTGGCTCCCAGATTTCTGGAGGCAGCAGAAGGGGGACAGATAAGTTCACTGAAAATTAGCCAGGCCTGCTGGCTGGGGACGGAGGAGAGGGGGCTGGCTGTCTACCCACTCTCCTGGGCTGCCTTCCTTCTCCTCCTGTCCTGAATGTTGCACCGCAATGCCCCCCACCCCAGCCAAGAGGTGGGAGAACACCGGGCCTCCGGGCCAGTCTTGCCACCTGCTGCCTCACCCTCCCCGTCCTGGCACTCAACTCCCACGCTTCCCTTGCAGAGGAGGAGCGGTGCCTGCGGGCAAACGACCGGGCCTTCAACCTGCAGTTTGATTATGCTGTAAGTAACCAGCCCCCCCGACACCCATTCCTTCCCCCCCTCCGTGGCAGAGACAGGGGAGCTGAGGGTCTGTGGGAACAGGACCCTGGGGGTGGCAATGCCCTTTCTCTCCTCTTTGCCACCCAGGCCCTCCGGGAGGGCTTCCTTGCCCACTCAGCCCTCCAGTGTTTCATCGAGAGGGGGGGGTGAGTTGTGCTGCTTCTCTCCTGCCCTGTCTTCACGGCTGTCTTCCGTCCACAGAAAAACTCCATTAAAACCTCCAAGTACAACCTCTTCACCTTCCTGCCTCTCAACCTCTTCGAACAATTCCAGCGCATCGCCAATGCCTACTTCCTCATCTTGCTCATTCTGCAGGCAAGTCTTCCCTTCAGGCTCCCTTCTGGCATGGCTGTGGGCCGGGATGGGGGGGGGTGGGCACGTGAAAGAGGGGGCACTGTCTGGGGAGGACCCTGAGAACATCCGTGGGTGCGCTGGCTCCTTCCCTTCTGAGGAACAAAGGTTGACCGAGCAGCTTCTGGATCTTGGCACTCCTCTATCTCACCTGCCCCGTGGGAGAAGCCGTTTCCCTCTTTGGCTCTCCGCCCTTTCCTGCCCAGCAGTAACGTCCAGGCCCCCCCCCAGCAGAGGCTGCCTCCCTCCACTTGTAGACTCTGCCACCCATCGGGGTCCTCAAGAGAACTGCTCTTCCCGCTCCTTTTCTGAGAGTTGGGCTTCCCCTGAGGACAGGACCCGGCCACTTGTAAGAGGGTGAATAATATCCACCCCTAGTCCTTGACCTACCACCATTCAGTCAGTGACTATTACAGGTTAAGATGGCACTGAACGAATGATGGTTACAACCGGTCCTCACAGTTCTCGCTGTCCCAGAACCCCCCAAAATCTTCTAATCTTGATCTGGGTGCTTGGCAACCCATTCACACCTACCACTAGTTGCCAGTTTGCAATGGGGAAGGTGGCAGGTTGTTGGTGTAGATCTCCCCCTTATCACTCACACTCACACTGCACTGGCCACTTGTGCAACCCCACACACCTTCCCCAATTCTCACTGCAACCCACAGATTCCCTGACCACTGAACCATCTTGCGCAATCTCTCCAGCCTGCGCGTCACCTCTTGTGAACCCTCTTACACAGGGGTGTCAAACTCAATTTCATTAAGGGCTGCATCAGCATTGCGGTTGCCCTCGGGGGGGGGCAGGTAGGTGTGGCCAGGGTGGGTGTGGCCTACTGGGTGGGCATGGATGGAGTGGGTGTGGCTTACTGGGTGGGGATGGCCAGCTCTACATTGTTTGCGTCAAGGGTGCCTGTGGGGGCCTGGGCAGGAATGGGACAGATCTGAGGGTCTCTGGTAGAAGGGGTGGGACCAGGGCAAGCGCCAAGGCATGGTCCATTTCTTCATTCCTCACAAAGGGTGACACCTCCCCAGCATGCACCCTGGGGGCAGGGCCGACGCGGCAGGGGCTGGTTCCTCGCTGTTTCCAGATGGCCTTGTGGAGCTAAGACTGAATGTGTTTCAGCATAGATGGCCACCACAAAATTGTACATTGGCTCCCGGCTGGCCTGGGCCAGGGCCAAGGCAGCGGGGGCCGTTCCCTCACTGTTTCCAGAATGGCTTCACGGGCCACATGAAACCACTTCGCGGGCCGCATCCAGCCCCCGGGCCTTGTGTTTGACATGTCTGCTCTTACATGTCGTCTCTTGCATCTTCCCTGTGCTGTGCCTTTTGGGTACCCTCCCTGAGTCTCCCCTCTCCCCTGCTCCCCCACCCCTTCACTCGCTCCCTCCCTCCCCCCACCCAGCAGCAGCAGCCATGTACTTCTCTGCCTGCAAGTCTGGGACCTGCAACTTCCTGCCTATTTCCCTACTTCCTTGTGAGAAATGGGCAGGAAGTTGCTTCAGCCAACGATCGTGGGATTCAGTTAACAACAACAATTGTGACTGTAGGGATTGCCGTCACTAAGTGATGCTATTGCGCTTAACGACCGCAATCACTTAGCAATGGAAATTCCAGAGCCGATTGCTGTCATAAGTCAAAGATTTTTAATTTTTGTTTGCGGGGAGCTGCTTCGCTCAATCGGATGAACCTTTATCCGTCTTCTGAGTTTCAGACGCACTGCTCCAACCTTCTCCGATTTTCTCAGAACAAGCCGGGGAGAAGAAGGGCTTGGCGGTTTCCCCACACATTGTCAAGCGTGCCACAACATCTGCCGGTCTCCCCCCCCTTCTGCTCCCTTCTTTTTTACTTTTGTTTCTCACGGCACCATTCACAGAACAACTTTTATGCCTCCTCCTCTTTTGATTAGTCACGTATGCTGTACACAACTTCCCCTTGAGCGGTTGTGTGGCCAACCTCCAGTTGGCTCCCCTCCCTTTGTTCACACGCGAGAACTGGCCGCCTTGTCCCCTTCTGGGGCCTCTGTGGCGGTTCTGCTTTGGCAGCAAAGAGCAGCCCCCTCCCCGTAACCTGTCCAAGGGACCATTGGCGACTCTCTCGCAATCCACTTTTCCTCAGTGGACTCTGCTGCGGCCTTCTCCTCAGCTGGACTCCTTCAATGCTCTCCAGGCACAGGGAAAGCGGAATAGAGGTGTCACTTGAAAGCCGTGGGGGAGAGGCCAGTTTCCAGGCTTGGCCTCTTCTTGCTGTTGGTCTTCGAAGTCGGCCCTTCAGCCTCTCTGCCTGCCAAATCCGGGTGGAAAAAACCCCTCCAAGCTTTGTGGGCATCCTGATTTCTCTCTCTCTTTGCAGCTCATCCCTGAGATCTCCTCCCTCTCCTGGTTCACTACCGTGGTGCCCCTGGTCTTGGTCCTGACCGTGTCCGCAGTCAAGGATGCCATGGATGATGTTGTAAGAGTCTGGTAGCGATGCCCGTCAGGGCTTTCCCCGTGCCCAACTGACTGCATTAACCCTCAGCTGAGCCCAAATCCATGCTGAAATCATCCCAAAGCAGCTGGGACCGATCTCCTGCCTTTGTTTCCAGAAGGAGGTGTCAGCAACAGACAAGAATTCCTCTGTGTCTGGGGGGGGGGGGAGAGGCAAGGGGGCATTTGGAGGAGCCTTTAGACTGCAGTGTTTCTCAACCTTGACAATTTTATGGCATGTGGACTTCAACTCCCAGAATTCCACAGCCAGCATTGCTGGCTGTGGAATTCGGGGAGTTGAAATCCACATGCCTTAAAATTGTCAAGGTTGAGAAACACTGCTTTAGAGCAGCCGCTCTTGGCCTCCACCCAAGTCAAGACCAGGCGAGCAGTGAAGATTTGAGAGGAAGGGCAGTAACTGTTCCAGGGAGGGCACCCCTTCCTGGCATCAGCCGTCCTGCCACAGCTGTCCTGCCCACAGCACCCCCATTTCCTGCTTTAAGGGCTCCCGAAATCCCTCCCTCCCCAAAGAAGGTTAAGCAGATGCCAGGTTGGCTTCTTCTGCTGCTTTGGGTTGCAGCCAGTCTAGGGCGCGCTCTCTATGGCTTGGCTGATTCTAGTTTTGTTTTCTTTTTCAGAATCGCCACGCAAATGACAAGCAAGTCAACAACCGGCCAGTTAAGGTTCTGATTAATGGCAGGTGAGCAACCTATAGGTCAGTGATGGTGAACCTTTTAGAGACTGAGTGCCCAAACCGCAACCCAAAACCCACTTATTTATCGCAAAGTGCCAGGGCTGCATCAGCATTGTGGTGCCCTCGGGGGGGGCAGGGGTGTGTGTAGCCCACTGGGTGGGCATGGCTGTGGTGGTCACAGCAGACTGGGTGGGCATGGCTGGGGTGGGCGTGGCCACCTTGATGTTGCTCATGGGGAGGACACCTGTGGGGGCTGGGCAGGATTGGGGGAGATCCAGGGGGTCTCTGGTGAGTGGGGTGGTGGGAAGGAGGTTCATCCTGTGGGATGAGGCAGGGGGTAGGGCAGGGGTGCCATTGCTGCGGGGCAAGGCGAGGCAGGGGTGGCTGCTACCTGACACCATCAGTCCCCGCACACAGAGGCCATCGAGCACATGGGGGCATGCTCTACCACCTCTACTCGAGCTTGCTAGCCAGCTGCTTTGCCTCCTTTGTGCTGGGTGGGGCTGCCGCTCCGGGCGCCAGCGGCGGCCTAATGAACCCGTGCGAGCTGGCTGCAGCGGCAGGTGTGCCCACAGAGAGGGCTCTGAGTGTTGCCTCTGGCACACATGCTATACGTTCACCATCACTGCTATAGGTCATCCAGTGAACAGCTGGCAAGGCCGAGAAGCTCCATAACGAGGTTGGAGGGTTTTCCCCAGTGGGGCCTGAGGACCCTTGGGGGGGCCTAGGGAAATTTCCACAGCCAGAGGAAAGTTGTGTCGAGGATCAAGGCCCTCAGCTGGACCAAGCGTCCTTTCGTCCGTGTGTTTGTCCACCCACTCAGAGGCTGAAGCCGCATCTCTGAACACCACACCTCCCCTCGGTTAAGCTTCTTCAGGTGGCTCAAAGGTGGAGCCCATGTGGGATCAAGGCAACACATAAACAGGATGCACTTAAATAAGTGCCCCTGCATCAGAGGTCCCGGGGGCTTCTCCTTCTCTGAAGCCAAAGGGCTCCTGGGGAGAAATCTCACTTTGCACTCATGTCACTGACAGAGAATCCGTTAATCAGAAAAAGTGTGAGCCTGGGTAAGGCTCTTGGCCCAGGAGGCTGGGTGCAACCGGGAAGCTCACACACACACCTGGTTCGGAGGGCAAGGACCCCTTCCAATGCTGCTTCCAATTTACAGCCCACCCCTAGATTTCAACCAGTGGGAAATCAGGAATTCCTGCTCAGCTCACTCCCATAGCTGGACTCTGCTGTGGGCAGAAGAGCCCCCTTCAGTTGGCCTGAGTCTCCTGCATGTCAGGCAAGGGAAGGCCTCTGAGTTGCAAAAGAGGGCCAGACCCTTTCCCCTTTCCAGATTACATGTATACACGGCTTTGTATTTCTTGGTCTCACCTTTCCTGAGCCTCCTTTGCACCAAGCTTTCAAAAGTCCCAACTGTGTTCCTTCTGTATAACAACAACAACAACAACAATAATAATAATAAAAAGTTGGAAGGGACTTTGGAGGTCATCGAGTCCTACCCCCTGCTCAGGCAGGAACCCTACACCATTTCGGACAAATGGCTGTCCAGTCTCTTCTTAAAAACTTCCAGTGTTGGCGCATTCACCGCTTCTGGAGGCAGGTTGTTCCACTGGTTAATTGTTCTCACTGTCAGGAAGTTTCTCCTTAGTTCCAGGTTGCTTCTCTCCTTGATGAGTTTCCATCCGTTGCTTCTTGTCCTGCCTTCAGGAGCTTTGGAAAATAGCTTGACTCCCTCTTCTTTGGGGCAGCCCCTGAGATATTGGAACACTGCTATCATGTCCCCCCTCGTCCTTCTCTTCGTTAAACTAGACATACACAATTCCAGCAGCCGTTCCTTATATGTTTTAGCCTCCAGTCCCCTAATCATCTTTGTTGCTCTTCTCTGTACTCTTTCTAGAGTCTCAGCATCTTTTTTACATCGTGGTGACCAAAACTGGATGCAGTATTCCAAGTGTGGCCTTACCAAGGCATTGTAAAGTGGTATTAACACATCGTGTGATCTTGATTCTGTCTCTCTGTTAATGCAGCCTAGAACTGTGTTGACTTTTTTGGCAGCTGCAGCGCACTGCTGGGTCATATTTAAGTGATTGTCCACTAGGACTCTTGAGATCCCTCTCACAGTTACTACTATTGAGCAAGGTACCTATATGATACCTATGTATTTGGGTTTTCTTGCCTAAATGTAGAACCTTACTTTTTTCACCATTGAATTTCATTTTCTTAGATAGTGCCCAATGTTCAAGTCTGTCAAGATCCTTCTGTATCTTAAGTCTATCTTCTGGAGTGTTGGCTATTCCTGCCAGCTTGGTGTCGTCTGCAAATCTGATGAGTTCCCCATCTATCCCCTCATCCAAATCATTGATGAAGATGTTGAAGAGCTCTGAGCCCAGAACAGAGCCCTGGGGCACTCCACTATACACTTCCCTCCATGTAGATGCAGTTCCATTGAGAACCACATGCTGAGTATGGCCAATCAACCAGCTATGAATCCATCTGGTGGTGATGCTGTCTAAGCCACATTTTTCTATCTTATCAAGTGGTAGGTTGTGGTCTACTGCTGTGCAAGTTCTGAGGTTTTGCTTGATAAAATATACAGGAAACCAGAAGTTGCATTTAAGTTTTACGTTTTTATTCAGCTGAACAAAGACAGGCTCCTCTAAAAGAGAGAAGCCCCGAAGGACAAGAAATCCTTGTATTATTCTATCTGATTACGTAAGCAATCCACCCAGCAAAACTGACACACATAAGATAAAGATTTCATCTGTAAATCTGGCACACTGTAGATAAGAAGGGAGAAAGCAGAAGTAGCTAAAATTGTTCCCTTTTGGGTATTTCCCTAAAGACATTGTACGTTCCTGGGTGAGTTAGGACATTGGGTGTTTTCCTTGCTGTCTTTTCATGACCCTGCATCCATGACTCTGCAAGTGCCCAAAGACATCAGGGCCATCTGCACATATTCACAATTGATACTTCCTATGCTGGCTCCTAATTCCTGGTCAACACTACTTTATCAAATGCCTTACTGAAGTCCAAGCAAATTATACCCACAGCATTCCTCTGGTCCACTAATTTTGTCAGTTGGTCAAAGAATGCAATAATATTTGTCTGGTCTGTTTTTGATAAACCCATGTTGGCTTTTGGTAATGACTTTGTTTACCTCTAGGTGTTCACTGATTCGTTGTTTAGTTATATTTTCCAAAATCTTCCCAGGTATTGAGGTCGGGCTGATAGGTCTGTAATTTCCTGGGTCCATTTTTTTCCCCTTTTTTGAAGATGGGAACTACACCAGCCCTTTTCCAGTCGTCTGGTAGTTCCCCAATGCTCCAGGATCTTTGAAAGATATAGTTCAGTGGTTCTGAGATCACATCTGCCAGTTCCTTTAGAACCTTGGGGTGTAATCCATCTGGTCCTGGTGATTTGAACTCGTCTAGGGTGGACAGGTGCTCACTTACCATTTTCTTGCCTATCTTAACTTGTGTTTCTAATCTGTTTTTTACAGTACTGTTTTTGATATGTTGAACTGTTTTTTCCCTTTGTGTAAAGACGGATGCAAAAAATGAGTTAAATAGTTCTGCTTTCTCCCTGTTGCTTGTCACTTTCTTGCCACTTTCTCCCACTAATGGACCAATCATTTCCTTAACTTTTTTCTTGTTTTTTACTTGTTGAAAGAAGCCTTTTTTTGTTATTTTTGACTTTGGTCGCAAGCCTTAGTTCATTTTGAGCCTTAGCTTTCTTCACTTCATCTTTGCAGACTCGGGCTATTTGCTGATATTCTGCCTTAGATATATGCCCTTCTTTCCATTTTTTATACTTGTCCTTTTTGTCTTTCAGTTTATCAGAGAGTTCTTTATGCAGCCATGCTGGTTTCTTTTGAGAGCTGTTATTTTTCTTCTTTGTTGGTATTATGCTAGACTGGGCTTTTATAATCTCACTTTTCAAAATTTCCCAAGCTTCTTGAGTTGTTTTCCCCTTGAGGATTCTCATCCATGGAATCCTTCCCAAGCTCTCTCTTATTGAACTTAGCTCTCTTAAAGTCCAAGACTCTAGTTTGACTATGTTCTATTGCTTGTGCTTGCATAGTTGAATTCCAATATTGCATGATCACTCCCCCCCCCCCAGGTTCCTGTGGCTTCAACACCTTCTATCATTTCATCTCTGTTAGTGAGAATTAGGTCCAATATGGCTGATCCCTTCTCTACTTTTTGGGAGACAAAATTGTCTGCTAGGTTTGTCAGGAATCTGTTTGATCTTCCACTTGGTGCCAAGTTTGTCTCCCAGTTTATGTCAGGGTAATTAATGTCCCCTGTTACTATTGTGATGTACTTCCTACATACCTTAGTTAGCTGACTAGTAAAAAGTTCATCTATTTACTCTGTTTGGTTGGGTGGCCTATAGTATACACCTACGGCAATGTCATTTCCCCCCCCCTTTTTATATTGATCCAAATGCATTCGAGATAGTTTTCATCATTGTTGTGCTCTATTTCTGTAGAGATGTAGTTATTTCTTATATATATATCCCAGCGCCCACTGTGACCAACTTGCCTAAAACGTTTCCAAATACATCTCAGTTTTCCTGAAATCAGAATCACGAAACCCTCCCAAACTGGAAACCCCAGGAAGCGTCTGATGCCAACCAGGCTTCTCACCAAAGCTCACCCACAGCTGCTCCCCAAAACTCCCCCAAAGAGGAAGGAGGCTTGCTAAGGGATGCCCTTTCCTCTGGTGCTTTTGTAACTGGGATTTTCTTCTAGCTTGAAGGAAGACTTGTGGCTCAACGTTGAAGTGGGAGACATCATCAAGCTGGAGAACAATAATTTTGTGACAGTAAGCGATGGCAGCTCCTCCCCTCCACTCCCTCATGCAATGGGTGTCCCAGGAGGCTCCTGAGGGACCAGCTCTGTTGCCCTGAGCCAGTCCAGTTAGCACTGACCAAATAAATGCCATCATGGAAGTTGCTCTCTTGGGCAGTCTTTGAAGGAAGCCCAGCCTGGAGCAGGAGCTTTGGAAATCAACTCGATGTCAGAGAGGCCCTTGAGCCGAGTCAGATGCAGCCAGGCCTGGTCTGTCCCTCCACCCTGCATCAGCAGCTCTTGGGACAGCTGTCGTGCAGCATAGGGGTGTGCTTGGATCGGGGGTCCTCTCTGTATCTCCCACCTGCAACCTTTGTGCATGGCCAGAGGGTCCCTCGGAGGCCTTGTGGCACGTCCATAGTCCCCAAGAGGGCAACTGGGAGGACAAGCAGCCGGTGCCTGGGCAATCCACTGGCACTGATCCGCCATTGCCCATGTTGCAAAATGACAAAACTCCTGCACTTGGTGCCGATGGTCAGATGGGGGGGGGGAATCTAAGGGGACTGAGGTCAGCAACCATGAGCCTGCCTTGACCTCCGGTTGCCAGGATGAGGGTCCTTTCCCTTGAAAGAAAGACCTCGGCCATGATTTGGGGAGAGAGGGGGCAGCCGACATCCCCTGCCTGCCGTTCTCACCGACTCTTCCCCTTTGCAGGCAGATGTCCTCTTGCTCTGCAGCAGTGAGCCCCACAGCCTGACCTACATTGAGACGACGGAACTGGACGGGTAAGCGTCTGAGCCCCCTCCCTCGCGGTGGGCAGCCTGACCCTCAGTCCTGCCTCCTGAGAACCTTCCCATGATGCCCTTGGTCTGGAGCCTCCCGCCTGTGTGATCTCTGGGTGGTGCATCCTCCCGCCACTCTCTTGTTGCAGGGAAACCAACCTGAAAGTGAAGCAGGCGCTGACCGTCACCGCGGCGCTAGGGGGGGACCTCCAGGCCCTGAGCAGCTTTAATGGTATGTAGAGGAGGGATGCTGGGCCAGCTGGGCAGCACTGGACTTCTGCCAGTGGGCTCTGGAGGCCCTTTGACCCTGCCCTTGGAGCCCCAGAGAGAGAGGTTGGGGGCAGCTTTGGCGCAGCTCTTTGATCTGAAGCCCCCTTGGACTCTGGTGCTACCCCACTCACTTTTCCCTGGCAGTTTTTTTCCTTCCCCTCGAGCAGACGGTCCATGAGGATAGCAGGGTTGAGTGGGAGTGGGACCCTGGAAAGCGGGGAGTCAGGACAGGGCCCTTTGGGGGCCTGGGGGAGGACCCTGAGCCACCTGGTAGGGCTGTGATTGGGGTGCTGCCTGCATTAGAGGTTCTCCCCTTGCCTGGCCAGAGAGATGCCAATTCAGAAAGCACAGCCAAGTGAGCATTTTGTGGGGTGCAAAGCTAGAGAGCACCACATCAGGAGTTGTGGTTCCCAAATTCCTCAACTTGTGTTGCTCCCACCCTGAGGATGTTCTCCCAGCCTTGGTAGGGTGGTTGTGGAGGCCTGCCAGTTGTGGCTTATGTGTTATGGGGTGCGGTTGTCTGAACGCATAGGACCTTGTCTTCACTGCTTTCTGCTTTTTAACTCTAAGTCACCCTGGAGTAATAATACTAATGATAGGCATGCCTGAGGGCAAAGGCTGCAGACGCCTTGCACACTCTCCCTTGCACTAATATATGTGTCCACTACCACCCACTCCTGCACAGTGTGGCCTCCAGTCTCAAGAACCCCCCCCCTCCAGCTCTGGGCTCTTCCCAACTGCCTCTCTGCCTCCACCCCCCCCACCCCAACTCCCCCCTTCTCTTCACAGATCTTTGCACTCTTTCCTTCTCTTCCTGTTTCTCTTCACTCCTCTGAGGGCCGAGGGGTCTTGGCGTGGCACTCCGGCACGGCAGCACCTCCCAGGGTGGGTATGCTGGCAAGGCCCTCACCCATGGGGTCCACCAGCCCCATGTGGTTGGGGGGCTGGGTCAAGAGGAGAGGGGTCTCAGCCAGAGCAGAGGAGGACCCCGTTGTGCATCGCCCCTCCGGAATGCAAGCTCTCTCTTTGGCCTCAGCTGCACTCTGGGGCAGCCTGCCAGAAAATGGCCAAGGGAGGGCAGAAGCACAGGCAGCTGAGGGGAGGGTAGGACCCTGCCTGTGGGGAAGGGGCTGAGGGCATATAGGGGGGTGGCCAGGGTGATCTTTGGAAGTGGGGGGGTGGAAGGGCTGGGAGTCATCATCCTTTCTTCTGCAGGGGAAATCCGCTGTGAAGCCCCCAACAACCGGCTGGGCAGGTTCACTGGGACCCTTTTCTTCAAGAAGGAGAAGTTCGCCCTGGACAACGAGCAGCTGCTGCTGAGGGGCTGCATCATCCGCAACACCGACTGGTGCTTCGGGCTAGTCATCTTTGCCGGTGGGTGAAGAAGAACGGCTGGCCCTGGCCTGCCAAAGGCGACCGGGGGGGGGGGGGGAAGAGGTTGTTCGCAATTCCAGCCCTCATTGAGCTCTTCTCTCTTGGATCCCTCCCTACTGCTTGCTCCCTCCCACCCACTTCACCCTCTTCCTTGTGCTGGGGGGCTGGCCACTTCTCAGGCAGCTTCCGGAGCAGCACAGCGTGCCTGAAGGCCCCCCCCCACAAGCAGCCTGTGGAGGGCAGTGGCCTCCTGGCTTCCCTCCTCCCCCAGGCCAGTTGCAGAGCTTCACCCCTGCGTGGGGGTCACCCGAAGGGATCACCCAACAGATCGACTGCTGCTGTGGTTCTGTAATTGATCCTAAAGGGGAAAAGCTCTTCACCACTTGGATATCTTCACTGCCCGTGCTAAGGCTGGTTCTTCTATCTGTTGCCATTCGTTTGGCTTTCTTTATATTTGATTTTAGTCCCATTTTTTTTTGCCTTTAGCTCTTTGATTTTTAGTACCAGAGCTTGCAGGTCCTGTTAATGTCAGCATATGGGCAGGTTATGGATGTTTCTTCCTCCGGTTTTTAAAACCTCGCTCTTCTTCCTCTTCCAATCCAGCTATATACTATATATTCAGTGCATGCCATGAAAGATGCTTGGTGTGACCAGCCTGCAAAGGCAACTTGAATTAAAATGTGGAATACATGAATAGGCCGGAGGGTTTGGCTTTGCCTTTTAGCATTAACTCAGATCCTGGGTGTATTTTAAGATTCCAGCGATCAGTGCTCACGGATCTTTATGGGCACAAATCAACCACTCTGCTACATGAGCGTGCCAAAAGGCGTCCGTTCACCCCTCTGCAGCATTTGGGAAGCTGGTTCCCCAAAAGGGCAGAGCCCCACTTCCCTGCAGAGGCCCTCCTTGTGCCAGAGCTGGTGCCAGAGGCTCCTGTGCCTCTGGTGCCACAATTGTGGCACCGCTGCATTCAGTCACCCCATGGCATGCTTCACAAAAGGGAGCCTGCACAGCTCCGGACCCCTCGCCGAGGTCTTTTTCTTGCCTTCTCCCCCAGAGTAAGCACCGCCCTTCTTCTGCCCTCTTCAAATTCATTTCTCTCCTTTCCATCGTGAGATGGGAGTCTGGGGACAAGGGGCAGGAGCTCCTGCCTTTCTGGATGCAGAACATTTTGATTCTGAAATTAAAGTAAGCCCACCGTGGTTGGTTTACCAGGGCCGGATACCAAACTGATGCAAAACAGCGGAAAAACCATTTTGAAGCGGACCAGCATCGAGCGTCTCATGAACTACCTAGTCTTGGTGGTGAGTCCTGCTTGTCGGGTTGGGGCTTCCTAACTTGGGCTGCCCCAGAGATACAGCTGGGTTGTCTGGTAAATGTTGGTCTTCCTCGGTCCAAATGTGCCTGCCTCCTTCTTGGAGCTCTCACATGCCAAACAGGGAAGGAGACTTAGCCGAACAACAGAGTTGGAAGGGACCCTGGAGATCTTCTAGTCCAGCCCCCCTGCTCAAGGTTGGTCCAACCCTAGACCATTTCAGACATGAGGCTCTCCACTCATTTGGTTCTCAGTGTTCTCTGAGCTTGGCATTTTTCTTGACAGACATTTCATTCCCTCAGTCCATAACCACATCAGTGGGTGGACACAAAGTGAGGTTCGGCATCTCTTTGGATGCAGCAGTTGGTCCTGCCGGCCTTGTGTGATGCGGCTGTTGTTTCTTCTTGATCGCTTTTCCTTAAATGGGGCTGGTTCCCACTTGCATCTGATGTTGCTTTAATGGGTGTGTGATAAGAAATCGACATAGGAATTAATTAATCAGGCAAGTCATAGAAGAAGAATTTGTAGCCAAGCTAGGCCAGCAAATCTGGAGAATGACAAATTATTGATCAGATTGGAGAAGGTCAGTCTGCCTATCAATACCAAACAAAATTAGAGTTTTAACAGAGTCTCCTTAATACAATATCCTTAATTCCTCATGCCGGCAAAATAATGCTTAAAATCACTGTCAGGGAATTGTGCAGCTGGTGTTCAGATGAAGTCAGAGACATTGACACAAACTTGTAGTTTTATAGAAATAAATACATTTAACATAAATATTTACAGCAAACAAGATAATCAGGCAAAAATCCTGAGGTAAATCGCAGAGCACAAAAGTGCACACAGAAGAAAAAAAGGGGGGGAACCCCCCTCCACACCCACAGCAACCACAGTGCAGATTGCCTCACGCAGCTGCCATCAATCAACCACAATGGTTTGTTCTGGCTCACTGCATAACCTTTCACTGCCCCAGCTACTAAATTTAAATACCTTAACAATCATTCAGTGTAGATCAGGGCCCTGCATGGGAAAAAAGAGATGCCAGATGTTGAAGCTGGCTTTCATGCTGGCTACTTCAGAGCGCCAAAGGATACCCAAAAGAAGTCACAATTTGCTTCCTTGATTATAGGAAAGCCTTCAATTGCATTGATCATGCCAAGGTGTGAAGTGTGCTCATAAAAATGGGATTCTCAGAGGGCAGGACAAGAAACAACGGTTGGAAACTGATCAAAGAGAGAAGCAACCTGGAATTAAGGAGAAAGTTCCTGACAGTGAGGACAATTAACCAGTGGAACAGCTTGCCCCCAGAAATCGTGGCTGCTCCATCACTGGAGGTTTTTAAGAAGAGACTAGACAGTCACTTGTCTGAGATAGTATAGGTTCTCCTGCTTGAGCAGAGGGCTGAACTAGAAGATCTCCAAGGTCCCTTCCGGCTCTATTCTATTCTGAATTCCTCTCTGTGTTGTGAAATTAAACAGGTTTCATTATGTCTTCTACTGACAACTGATGTCCATGCAATCCTCTACCTAGTGGGTGGCTCGTTGGCTGCCAGCTGTGAATGAGGCCAGCTTTGTCTTCTTTGGCTTTTGGCCAAAGCCTTTGGGTTCGCCTAGGACAGGCTTACCTTGATAGTGTTATTGGATGATGGCAAAGGTGTCTTTTTAGAACCAGGAGCTGAGCCAAGAATTATTGCCACCTATTGTATACATGTATGTATGCATGCATGCATGCATGCATGCGTGTATTTATTTATTTATTTATTTACTTATTTATTTATTTATACATCTTTGTATGTATGTATGTATGTATGCATTGATTGATTGATTGATTGATTGATTGATTGATTGATTCGTTAAATTTATCTCCTGCACATTTCACTATCAAGGAAGGGCTGGGTTTCTTTGCCACAAAGATGCCAAGCGGTGGTTCAATGATGAATATGCTTGCGGAGGATGAGGGGGGAAATTTATTTTTCTTGCTTTCTCCCTCTGGGGAGGGGGAGGATTTTATTTTTCCTTTTTCCACAATTTTTAATATTTTTTTTTCTTTTTTCTAAATATATTTTTGTATTATTCCGTATTTGTTTCATTGGTTTAATATAATTTTGAATAAAACTACTGCACAAGAAAAGTTGCAGCGACATAACCAAAAAAGGTCCAATTACGGAAGCTGCCTGTAAACAGCGACCCAGCTTCATCCGTGTCAGTGCTCTGATGTTGCTGGAACTGAAATGTTTGGAACAACATCAAGAATCCACTTGTGCAAATTGACTGGATAGTATCTCTGACCCAGCCGGGATGACAGTTGCGTTGTCAGCCAGTGGAGAAGACCATCCCTTGAGGCAGGAAGCACTCTCCGTTGGAGGTCTTCAAAGAGAGGCCTTCAGAAGGTCTCTAGTGGATCCATCCCTGAGCAAAAAGGCTGGACTAGATGTCCTCTTCTAACCCTTTGATTTGGTGTGGCTCAGGCACTCAGAGGAAGGGCTACCTGGTCTGGGCCATGGCCGCCCTGGGTGAAGGTGGTAGGCCTGGTCCCCAGACTGGGAGGTCCTTCTCTGCCACCTAGGCTGCTACCAATTTCTCTCTCTATCTTGGTAGATCTTTCTCTTTTTGGCCATCATGTGTTTGATCCTGGCCATCGGCAACTGCATCTGGGAATACAACCAGGGCTACCGGTTCCAGGTGTACCTGCCCTGGGCAACGGATGTCAAGTCATCATTTTTCTCTGCATTTCTTGTGTTCTGGTCCTACGTCATCATCCTCAACACCGTGGTGCCTATTTCTCTCTATGTCAGGTAAGATGGCAACTGAGGGGCCAGACCAGCCTCCCCCCACCCAGCTTGGAAGGAGAACCCATTGAGCCTGGTGGTCTGAGCCTGGTGGGGTGGGGGCAATTCCTCCCCTGCTTCTGGAGGTGGTCCTGTCCTGGAAGAGCTGCCATCGTGGTGGGATGCTCTGAGCAGCAGGCTCAATTGGAGGAGCCAGCCAGAACCCATGTCCCTTGGATCACTGCCAAAGAGAGGCCTCTCCTGTCACCACAGGCTCCTGAGGGGGTATCCCTGACTTGACTTGGGGAACAGGAGGAGAGAGGCACCTCCATTCACCAGCCAAGGGGCCTTGTCCCTTCAATACAGGGGACAGTTCCTAAAGGAACCAATGGCACTTCAGCCATGGCCAGCAGTGATCCTTTGCCATCTGTGTGTGGCTTGCTGCTCTAGACAATGTCACATCAGCTGGAGGCACAGCTGGCTCAATCATATCACCTTGCCAGGGTGGGAGTGGGCACCGGACACTTCCCTTCCTGCCAGGGACCCAGCGTGTGCCTTTTTTTTCTCCAGCGTTGAGATCATCCGCCTGGGCAACAGCTGCTACATCGACTGGGATCACAAGATGTACTACCCACTCATTGATATGCCTGCCCAGGCCCGCACCACCACCCTCAATGAGGAGCTGGGGCAGATCAGTTACATCTTCTCAGACAAAACGGGGACCCTCACTAAGAACATAATGATCTTCAACAAATGCTGCATCGCTGGGAAGCTCTATGGTAAGATGGGGCCAGATGGAGGGGCGTCTCGCTGTATGATGGAAAGATGAAAGCGGATCAGAGCCAGCCCCCCTTTCCCTGGAGAAAAGGAGGAGACAAGGGAAAGGGGGGGTTTCACAACCTGCTCCCCGCACGTTTGGCTCTCTGGCCCCAAAATCACTTTCAGATAAGGGTTGAAGGCCCTTTGCAACAGATAGAAAATGGCAAGCAGGCATTCCTGACCGGAAGTATTCTAGTCATGAGACTCATTATTCTGGAGGCACAGTCAGACCCCCCCCAATGCCTTTGCCTCTGTCTAAGATAGACTCAAGGGTGGCCAAGAGGTGGATACAGCAATTTGGGGAAGGTCTCACTCTGACTGTAGTGTGTGTCTTCCGGAACCATGAACTAAGATGCCTTGTAGTTCTGGTCTGGACAGCATAAACTCAATGAGAACGATTTTAAAACAATATTTATTGTCCAGGAATTCTTAGCAGAAACTTACTATGCAGAAGATATGTCTGGTCATTAGGATATTGTTCATTCCCGTAGGTAAAGGAATAACGGATTCCTCCGTCCTGCGTAAAAGTTACATGCTGGCACAGAGCTTCTAGCCTTGCGGCTGGGAATCCATGCAGAGAGATGAAACAATGGCACAAAGCCAAGAAGTCCTACAATAACTTTTTAACTCCTCCCACTGTCTAGATAAGAAATGGGTCTAACTAACACTGAACTACATTACCCATAAGCCATCTCTTAAGGAAACAGCATTTAACCCTTTGCTATATGCTCTAACATACAGTTCTTTTAAGGATACAACATTAACCCTGTAAATGCTAAATATTCTAACACAGTTCTAGCTGGCTACAATCCGGTCCAGCACAGTGTGCTTAGCATGAGGGTCGAGTGTGGTGTGTCCACGGGTGGTTTGGTCCTGAGCATCCCTCTGTCTTGACATTCTTGGTGATGAGAGCCAAGGTTCGGAGTTTCAGAACAGAAAGGGAGGAACAGGAACCCCCCCCCCGTCCCCTGGAGCACAGAGGCCCTGGTTGTCCTTCAAAGCCAGTCTTGTGTTTTTCTCTCCCACAGGAGATATTCTGGATTCAGATGGATTCCTGGTGGAGGACTATGAGGTAAGGGACGCTCCACCAACCCTCTTTTGAAACGGGGCTGGTTGTGTCCCAGCGGCGGTGGCCTCTAGGCCGCCATCCAGGCTTAAGGGAGAAGACCAAGTCTGGGGCATATATTTTGCAGTAATCTTGTTCCCAGGCTATCTGCTCTTCTGCACAGCAGCCCTTGAGTGCCGTTGCTGAAGGTGGAAGAGTCTTCAGCGGTGCCTCACCCGCTTCCAGTTTCCCCAACCCTACCTCAGCATCGGGACCAAAAGGGCATCTGTCCACAGGACCAGGGTGGGGTGAGGGAGGCAAGAGCTGGGGAAGCCCCTACGGTGCCATTTACTGATAGCAAGATGCACAGGTGTTCTGATGTCCACTTCCTTCCCACTCTGGGTGATCAAGGGACAGTGGGGGACAGAGGCTTGGCCACTTCCTGTCCAGTTGGACAGGAGCTTAGTGGTCTTGTAGAGCTTTTTTTTACCGTCCCTTGGAGTAGAAGGGAAACTGGCACAAGGCTGATCAATTTGCCTCCAGCTCACCCCCCCACATCTTACATCACTGAAGAGGCTGGCAGCAAGTGGACCTTAAGAGTAAGAACCCCCCCCCTTCACAACACTCAGGTGGACTGTTCCCCACTAGGGACAAATGCAGATTCCCCCCTTACCTGCAACTGAGATCAGCCTCTACAGCAGACATGTCAAGCACAAGGCCCGGGGGCCGGATGCAGCCCGCAAAGTGGTTTCATGTGGCCCGCGAAGCCATCCTGGAAACAGTGAGGGAACGGCCCCCGCTGCCTTGGCCCTGGCCCAGGCCGGCCGGGAGCCAATGTAGAATTTTGTGGTGGCCATCTATGCTGAAAGGCATTCAGTCTTAGCTCCACAAGGCCGTCTGGAAACAGCGAGGAACCAGCCCCTGCCGCGTCGGCCCCATCCCCTGGGTGCATGCTGGGGAAGTGTCACCCTTGGTGAGGAATGAAGAAATGGACCATCGCCTGGAAGTGGCCCTCGCCTACTTCACATATCCAGCTTGATGGGCTCTGCCCTAGTCCCACCCCTTTCTGCCAAAGACCCTCAGATCTGTCCCACTCCTGCCCAGGCCCCCCCTTGATGCGAATGATGTAGAGCTGGCCACGCCCACCCAGTAGGCCACACCCACCCAGTAGGCCGCACCCACCCTGGCCACACACCCCTGAAGGCAACCACAATGCTGATGCAGCCCTCAATGAAATTGAGTTTGACACCCCTGCTCTACAGGAACCAGGTGCTGGGTGCGAAAGGAGAGAGGTAGCCCCGGGAGGCAGACATTTCCTCTTCCAGCAGCTGGGGATGAAATTGCATGGAGGAAACTTACCAGGCACCAGTGGCCCTCTCCAGGAAAATGTTACCCTCCCCCCCCCCCGGCCATCAGAAGCTGGACACATAACTTTTGACCCAGAGGAAGACAACAATGGATGAGGCCAGGGAGGGTTGAGGGTGGCATTAGCGTTGGCATCTCCTCAGGAAATAGTTTGATGGGGGTCTTCATGGTGAGTCAAGCAGTATGTATTCAGGAGCCCTAACAGTAGCTTTACCTCCCTGCTATGGGGGCCGGCTGGTGTCCAGAGAATGAAGAGATGTTATTAGATGTTATTGCTTGACAGTCCAGCTCAGAGCAAATGAGGTTGACCCTCCTCATTTCCTCCACAGGCAATAGACAAAGTTGACTTTTCGTGGAACCCTTTGGCCGACCCAAAGTTTGTCTTCTATGACCACAGACTGGTCAGAGCGGTGAAGGCCAGGGATGAGTCCACACACAGGTTCTTCCGCCTCCTTTCCCTCTGCCACACGGTGATGACAGAAGAAACAAAGGAGGGTGAGGCTGCGCCCCATGGCAGAGCTGGCAGGGGAGGACACGGTGGCTGGGGGGGGAGGAGGCTCATGCTTGCAAAACAACCAGTACCTTTCCTCGCCCGCAGGCACGCTGGTGTACCAAGCCCAGTCCCCAGACGAGGGGGCCTTGGTGACTGCAGCCCGAAACTTCGGCTTCGTGTTTCGTGCCCGCACCCCCACGACCATCACTGTGGTGGAAATGGGGGAAACCGTGGTTTACGAGCTGCTGGCTATTCTGGACTTCAACAATGTGCGCAAAAGGATGTCCGTCATTGGTGTGTCTCTCTCTTCCTTCCCACTCTGCACACGTGTTGCTCAAGCTCTCCTCCTGCCTCCTCCTGAGGTTGTCTTGTGTCACAGCAGGAGTTGTCGTTCTGCACAACCCCAAGGCCTTGCTGGGTTCCCTGGTTTGATGTGCAAGTGGGGTCCTTGGTGTCCTTTGAGCCTGGTCTTTTTCTTGCAGATGTTTCATTGCCAAACCAGGTAGCATCATCAGGGCTGAATTTACTGCCTAGCTGGGTAATGAAATGTCTGTAAGAAAACAACCAAGGTCAGAGAATACCAAATACCCTGTGGTGGTGGTGGTCATCATTGTCCTCCTCCTCTTCCCTCTCCTCCTCCTCTCGCCATCCCTTCTAGCACTGATGATGTGATGGGTAATGAAACATCTCTAAGAAAACAACCAAGCTCAGAGAGCACAAGGTGCTCCATAGCTCCTCTCCCTCCTCCTCTCCTCCTCCTCCTCCTCCTCCTCCTCCTCCTCCTCCTCCTGCTGTCACCATCCCTTCTAGCACTGATGATGTGACAGGTAATGAAACATCTCTAAGAAAACAATCAAGCTCAGAGAGCACCAGGGACTCCACAGTTCTCCTCCTCCTCCTCCTCCTCCTCTTCTCCACAAACCCCCCTCCCTTCTAGCACTGATGACGTTACCTAGTTGGGTCATGAAAAGTCTGCAAGGAAACAAGCAAGCTCAGAGAGCACCAAGGAGCCCACAGCTCAATCCTGAACTACAGATAATTCCCTTTTATCAGTGATGTTGTGCTAGTGTAATAATTGAGGAACGATTCAGACAACCCGTCAGCAGTGCAGAAGGACTGGGACCTTTCAGATAGGCTACCTGGGGCACGTTTGGTGATTTGCAGGAGGAACGCCAAGAGGGGAGGGAAGAGAGATGAGGAGGGGGAGGGCTTTCCGGTTTGGGTCTTTTTTTCTGAGCTCCACCTGCTGCAGGCTCACCTTCTGCCCTTCCTGCCTTGTTCCCAGTGCGAAACCCGAGAGGTGAGCTGACTCTGTACTGCAAAGGGGCCGACACCATCCTGTACAAGCTCCTCCATCCCTCCTGCAAGGAACTGGAAGAAGAGACTACTGAGCACCTGGATGTAGGTGCCCCCTGTCCCAGTGGAGACGCCGCTGGGGGATGCCCTCCTGCTTCTTCCAAACGCAGGCAGGCAACCTGGCTTGCTGGCTTGCCTGCCGCCTGCTTTCTGGCCCCACGGATCCCTCAGCTGTGCTGCTTCCTCCAAACTGATACAAAGCTGTGTACCCCCTGCCCCTCCCTGCCCCCCAGGCCTTCTCAGTGCCAGGAACAGAGCTGGGCACAGAAGTGAGAAGGCAGCTGAGCTGCACAGCTGCTGGCTGGCCTCCCTCTGAAAGCCCTGGGCAGGGGTAGGCAACCTTGGCTCTTTTATGACTCATGGACTCATAGCTATGCTCGCTCAGGAATTCTGGGAGTTGAAGTCCACGAGTCATAAAAGAGCCAAGGCTGCCTACCCCTGGACTAGGAGGAGGAAGGGATGTTAGACACATTCCTCTCCTTGCGTTGTTTATAGAAATAATAAATAAATGCCCTTCACTTAAGGCAGGGCTTTCCAACCTTGGCAACTTTTAAGTCTCGTGGACTTAAAAATATGGGAGAGGGGGTGGCTTGCTGGAAAGGTCTGGGAGATGGGGGGGACGGTCGTGGGGCACCAGATGTGGTTACAAAGTCACCTTTGCCGTTGAGCCCCATGGTCTAGGCCAGGGGTAGGCCACCTTGGCTCTTTTATGACTCGTGGACTTCAACTCCCAGAATTCCTGAGCCAGCATGGCTCAGCTTGGAAACCTCTCCCTTTCCCCTCAGCATGGGCTGGCTCAGGAATTCTGGGAGTTGAAGTCCACGAGTCATAAAAGAGCCAAGATTGCCAACCTCTGGCCTAGGCCTAGGCCACTCTATGACTCGTGGACTTCAACTCCCAGAATTCCTGAGCCAGCATGGCTCAGCTTGGAAACCTCTCCCTTTCCCCTCAGCATGGGCTGGCTCAGGAATTCTGGGAGTTGAAGTCCACGAGTCATAAAAGAGCCAAGGTTGCCTACCCCTGGTCCAGGGCACCTAGTCCAGCCTCCTGCTTAGGCCTGGGTCCCCCAGAGCACATCTGATGGGAGACTTCAAGTGTTTCAGCTGCTGGGACTCACTGGCCGCTTACCTAGCCTGGCCTGGACCCTTTTCAGTCTGGGTCGATTTCCCTGGTTGCACAGAATCCTGCTCTTTGGAGCCATAGAGATCAAACCCGCTCCCTCTTCTTCATCATGAATCCATCAGGACTGTATCTTTCCAGGCTGTGGGGCAAAGGGCTCCCAGAGGAGCAGCTGTCTTATGCCCCAAGGCAGCCCCTTTGGCACAACCGCCGGACGGGGCCCGGCTCAAACTCCTGGAGTTTGGCTCTGCAGGTTTGCACCCAGAGGTGCTCCTGATCTGTGTCCTCCCTCCCCACAGGCTGGATGTGGGGCAGCAGCTCCCAGCCCCTGGGAACAGGGCGTGTGACAGGCCCCCTCTGTGAGTGGCTTGGGACTCAGGGCCTGCTGTCTTCCCTAGGAGTTTGCCGGGGAAGGTTTGCGGACCTTGGTGGTGGCTTACCGAGACCTGGAGGAGTCCTATTTTGAGAGGTGGCGGAAGCGTCACCACAAGGCGAGCACCAGTTTGCAGGACCGAGAGGGAAAGCTGTCCAAGCTGTATGAGGAGATCGAGAGAGACCTGCAGGTAGGCTCCCGGCAAGAGGTGGCAGGCAATTGGCACAGTGGAAGCCGTTGCCTTTCTTCACTCACCCCATCCACCAGCCCCAGCAAATGCCAGTTCGGCACCACTTGCTGCTGCTCCCCCGGGGGAATCCTCCAATGCCCTTGAGGCACCCAGCACCTTGTGGCACCAAGTTCTGCTGAAAGGTTTGATGGTCAAGGAATTTCTTCTTCAGTGCTCTTCTTGAGAACTCTGCCAGGCATAATTATAATTACACAATTAAAGTATAATTACACAATCTAACACGCATGCACACACAGACACAGATACAGATACACACACACACACAGAGAGAGAGAGAGAGAGAGAGATCTTCAGTTGCAACATGGTAAATTACAGGCAGATTCCCCAGAACTTGATCCAGCTTGGATGACCCTAGAACAGTGGTGGCAAACCTATGGCACGGGTACCAGAGGCGGCACTCGGAGCCCTCTCTGTGGGCACGCGCGCCGTCGCCCCAGTCCTAGGCCTTCAGCTGGGTTTTATAAAACCTTTTCGCTTTAGGCTTCCGCTGCCGTGTGCAAAAATAAAAGGTTCAATCAATCAGTCAATTTCAACTTCTCGCGGGAAAAAAAAGTTCTTGCAAAGTTGGAATTGATTGATTGAACTTTTTAGTCCCACCCAGTCTGCCTTTACCACCGCAGCCACGCCCACCCAATGGGCCACGCCCACCCAATTGGCCACACCCAGCCAATGGGCCACACCCACCCGGCACTCGACGATGCATAAGTGGGTTTTGGGTTGCAGTTTGGGCACTCGGTCTCTAAAAGGTTTGCCATCATTGCCCTAGAATGATCAAGCTTATCGCAGGGGAGGATTATCTCCTGAGAGGAGACCACAAGGACACTTTATGCTTCATTTTTTTTTCTTGAGCATTCGTTGGTGTGGAGAAGGAGAGTGTTAGATGCCTGGTGCCTGGATTCTGCCCATGCATGCACACATGCCTTGCCTTCCAAGGTAGTCCGTGTGATGTGCAGGGAAGGGGTCAGAAGGTCTTCAGCCAAGAACATTCAAGGCACGAGAGAAACAAAAGGATGTATCTTAGACCTATTTGCACCAACTCTGTTCCGGTGCTTCTCCCTGCCTTTCTGTCACCCCATGCGCCCACCCTTTGAACTGACCTCCTTTGGATCTTTAAGCATCTCCCTTCTCTCACTGGAGGATCGTGCCCCCTTTGTCCCTCCATGATTTCTTTCTTCCCTCTGGGCTCCTCCGTCCTTCCTTCGCTGAGCAGCTGGTGATGGGGTCCTTCCTCGTTCCCTCCCAGCCACCTCAACACCTTCCCTGCTTATCTCACCGTCGCCCATTCATTCTGGTCTGTTTAACACGTGCTTCTTAGGTTCCACCACGTGAAACTGACATGCCCAACACCTGCTCCAGTATAATGGTCTCGTGTGCACAATTTTCACTGTTTTAGAGAAATGGGCCTTCCTTGCAGGTGCCACCCATCATCTTTCTACCAGCACTTGTATGCCGCTTAAAATGTCTAATTTAGGAGTTCCCTTGCAAGTGAAGTTGTATTGCCCAGATCCCATCAACCTGGAGGTGTTTTTTCAGAACTGTTGTCCTTTCCTTCCGGGGCACAGCGTGGGCCTTGATGTTTTTATGCTGGCCAATCGCTCTGGGTGCTGCAGACGTTGCGCCCTGCAAGCCTCTTAAAATGTTCCGCTTTCCCAAAGCTACCTGGCATTACAAGGGATTTTTTTTTTCATTGCCTGCCTGCAGTGCAATACCAAAAGATTACAGGAAGGCCACAGATCCAGTGAAGGTTCACTTGAGAAACACCAGCCTATGTTGGCCCCTGATTTGATGACTCCCTCTGCCCAGTTTATCCTGCCCTTTCCCCCAATACACAAACACACCTAGCACGAATGCTGAGTGGCTAGCTTGGCAACAGGCAGCTCTCTGGAGAGGGCACCAGGGGCTTGAGAGGCTGGGCCGGGATTGTGGCAGGCGAACGATTCTTCCTTCTCTCCCTAGCTCCTTGGGGCCACCGCCGTGGAGGACAAGCTGCAGGAAGGGGTCCCCCAGACCATTGAGATCCTGGGAAGGGCAAATATTAAAATCTGGGTGCTCACCGGTGACAAGCAAGGTACTGGCTGGGGAAAGGGGCGGGAGGCTGAGGCCCAAACCCTGAGAGAACCAAGTGGCACCCCAGAACTACCGGGGGGGGGGGCTTTCAGGGCACCCTGCTGATCTTCTGTTGTGACAAGAAGGGTCCTGCCTCCACACCAGTGCCAGGTGGAGCATCTCCTCCTCCTTGCTTCAGAGCCACTGCTTCCCAGCAAGGCTCCTGGGCAGACGCAACCTATTTTCAGGGCCTTTCCTGTTGATGGGAGGGGAGGCAGGAAGGCTGCCGTGCCCTGGATGGGCGACCGAGAAGCCTTCCTGCTTCCAGAAGCAAAGAGAGACAGGGCCAGCCAGCTTTTCAAGCAAATTTCTGGTCTGCTGGGAGCCAGGATCAGGAGAGGAGCATGGAAGGAGGCAGGGTGGGGGTGGGGGGTGGGGTGAGGGGGAGGAAGCAGGAAAGTTGCCTAGTCTTTAAGGAACAGAAAAGTGCACAGCCAAAAGTAGACGAAAATGGGTTCTACATGTGGGCAAGAAAAATGGAGGGTGGGGCAGAGAGAAGTGCACCACTTGGAGGTAGCTGAGTCCAGGGAGGCTAGCAAAGAATTAAGATTACTCGGCCACAGAAGATCCATCTGCTGGGATGGTGGGTTTAGTCCAGGGGTAGGCAACCTTGGCTCTTTTATGACTTGTGGACTTCAACTCCCAGAATTCCTGAGCCAGCCATGCTGAAGGGAAAGGGAGAGGTTTCCAAGCTGAGCCATGCTGGCTCAGGAATTCTGGGAGTTGAAGTCCACGAGTCATAAAAGAGCCAAGGTTGCCTGCCTCTGGTCTAGTCCTTTGGCTGGCGTGCCAATTTCCCGGGTGCAGGGCTGGGGCCCCCTCCCCTCCCAGCCCCATATAGAAAGGCAACTGGGGACCAGAGGAGAGAGCTGGGGGAAAGAAGGGGGTCTTTCTCCTTCCTGAAAATAATGGACCTGGGGGGGGTGTCTGTTTTTCCAGAGACTGCAGTGAACATCGGCTATTCCTGCAACATGTTGTACGATGCCATGAAGGACATCTTCATCATTCATGGCGACAGCTGGGAAGAAGTGGAGCAGCAGCTCAGGTGAGAGAGAGAGAGAGAGAGCTCCCCCCCCTGTTCTGCTGCCCCTTCTTTCCCATGCCCATCTGGGGGAGGGGGAGGGCAGCTGTTCTGAGCGGGGAGAACAGCTAGCAGAGAAAGAGGCAGAGGAGACAGGCCTCCTTGTGAGAACCTTCTCCATCCAATTCCTGGAGGGCCTCGGGCTCTCTGCCATCTTATTGGGCAATGCCAGTTGTGACCAAAAGTGGGTCTCTCCGAGGGGGAAGACCACTCTCTCCTTGCTTGCCCCTCTTGGACTCATCTTGAAGATCTGAAGGAGTGCTTCTTAGGACTCCCAGACAGGAAGGGGTCCTCTCATTGACCCACCCCGTTTCCGGGCTGCCCCCCCCTATCTCCAAAGCGTGTGGGTAGGTGAGTGGCTGGGCCACCATATCAACCTCCCAGACTCTGCCTTCACACAACCTGCTTTTCTGGGTTCATTCAGCACAGTCAGATGCAAAGGTTTGGGTGGTGTTAGCGGCCATCGCTGGGTCTTCCTGCGATGATGGTGTCAACCCAGTCATCTCTCAAGGGGGAACTGAGGCAGGGGGGGATCAGCCAAGTATGCTGGCAGAGGCTGCTTCTCAATTGGTTGGCTCATTCAGACATTTTCCTCTTAGGTTTTCACTGACCTGGGGCCATTTAGGCAATTTGGAACCTCCCCACCCCACCCCGCACATAGCAAATACATCTTAATGATAATAAGACTAGTAATAAGAGTGGACCATCAAGGCAGCAGTGGCTCCATTCGCAGCTCAGTGGGGACATGGTTTGGGCTGGAAAGGGGCACTGGTTGGGTCACGGTGCTGGGGCTCTGGCAGCAAGTAAGTGTGCCTGGTGGCCCCCTCCCCTCAAGCCTTGTCAAGGGAACAGTCATTTCTGGGGGGGTCATCCTCCCGGCTCCCATATGCCCTTGACCCCGTCCCTTCTCGCTTCATGTCCACGGGGTTCACCATGTCGATTCTTTTTCAGGACAGCCAAGGACAGGATGCAAGCAGACCTTGATGCAAAGGCAGAAGAGTTTGAAGTCAAGAGGTCAACCTCCAGCTTCTGGAACAGAGAGCCTGGAGGCTTCTGGAACAAAGAGCCCGCCAGTGGAGACTACGGCCTGATCATTAATGGACACAGCTTGGTAAGGTGGCGCCTGAGGCTGGGCCCCTTCTGCACAACAGACCAGGGGGCAAGCTGGCATCCGCAGCCCTCCCAGCGCTTGGCCAACAAGGGCGAAGCAGTGGGAACTGGCAGGAATGCCATGCCCTTTCCCTGAGGCCAGGTTGGTCCTGATCCTGGTCCTGATCCAGTCACATGGCACTGGATGCGCTCCAGGTGGGCTGTCACTGCTGGGGATTCACGGGCTTTCGTTTCGGCAACCACTGTAGGTTTTTAATGTGAGGTTTGATGCTATGAGGAGGGCAGCCATATACACTGGACTTAATAAATAAATAAGTGCCACTTCAGGACAGACAAAGGGCTGGTCCTCAGAGAGGTGGAGGGGCCTGGCACCTCAGTCAAGCCAGGACCCTTGGCCTTTTTCTTTCCTCCAGCCTTGGGAGAAGGGCCATCCTCTCTTGCATACTCACGCCCCCACTCTGCCCCTGGCAGGCCTACGCGCTGGAGGGGGAGCTGGCGGAATTGCTGGTGGACACGGCCTGCATGTGCAAGACGGTGATCTGCTGCCGGGTGACTCCGCTGCAGAAGGCCCAGGTGGTCGATTTGGTGAAGAAGTACAAGAAAGCCGTCACCCTGGCCATCGGAGACGGCGCCAACGACGTCGGCATGATCAAAAGTGAGTGTGTGTGGCAGGCCGCTCAGTTCTCAGCTAGGCCCAGGGGAGAAGCTGCAGAAGCAGAGGGACTCTGAGCATGACAAGCCAGGCCAAGGGGCGTGGAACAGAAAGCAAATCCAGCGGGTGGCCGTGGCTCCCGTGGCTGGCCCTCTCTCTGATTTTGGAGGCCCAGCAGAGCCTTGGCCTTGGATAAACATGTTGCATCCCCTTGGAAGCCTCTGTCCGAGTCTTCCTGTTTTTCCTGTGCCCCATCTCTCTGGGCTCGGGAGGCCAAGCACAGCAGCTGTGGGACACATGGATCAGGCACCCACCAGCTTCTCCTGGTCCTGCTCCCTGCTGAGGGCCTTCCTGTTTGGTCTTCTAGCTGCCCACATTGGCGTTGGCATCAGTGGCCAGGAGGGGATGCAGGCAGTGATGTCCAGTGACTTCTCCTTCGCCCAGTTCCGCTACCTGCAGCGGCTGCTGCTGGTCCACGGCCGGTGGTCGTACATCCGCATGTGCAAGTTCTTGTCTTACTTCTTCTACAAAAACTTTGCCTTCACGCTGGTGCACTTCTGGTTTGGCTTCTTCTCCGGCTTCTCCGCCCAGGTACTCGCCTCTGATAAGCCCAGGCTTCCACACCAGAGGTAGCCGACTGGGGAGGGAGGGTAAGGGGGTGGGGGCAGAGCATTTCCATGGCCTGCTCCAGCTAATGGCCTGTGGTCAGTGCCCAGCAAGATTAGGCATCTTTTTTCCTTTCAGACCAGTGGCAATTTGGTTTCAGGGGCCAGCTGGTTGATTAATGGCCATGAGCCCTTTGCCAGGACAGTGGGCAATGCAAGAACTACCCTTGTCTGCAGAGAGAAAACCAGTTCAGTTTTCAACCTTAGGAAGTTGCTATCCAACTTCTCAGTCACACAGAGATGGAGAACGCACATTTTTTTGTAGTTACCGTCACACAGAAATTTACCGTTCAGAGGTTTTTTTCCCTACATTGAAATGAAATCCAAGTAATTGTAACTTATGCTCATAATTTCTGGTCCTGGATTCTGTCGCCATGGAAAAATCATCCATCCATGTAGCTTCTCTGTGTGGACCAGGCAACGCTCCATCTCACATGTATGTGCCCTTGGCCAGTGTGGGGACCGGGACACTAACCACACAGCTTGGCTTTGCACAGCACACAACACACACTGCAGAGAGAAAGTAAGTAATCGGTGGAAAGGAAGCAATTTTACCACGATAGTCCTTGACTTACAACCATTACTGAGCCCAGAAGTATGGCTATAAGTCATTGTGGTTATCAGTCAAGGCATCACATGACCGCACCAGATTTTTCAACATTTTTTGTGGGGGTGGTTAAGCAGATTTTCCCAAATGGATGGGGTTTTTTTACTGGAAACTGTAAGCGAATGCCAGAATTGGCAAAAAAAAAAAAAAAAAGGTGCAAATGCTACAAACAATCATAAAGGTGAGATGTTTGCCAAGCACTCAAAATGTGATCATATGACTGCAGGGATGTGTGTAACTCTGTGTAGCCATTGTAACTTCGAAAACAGGTCAGAAGTAGCTCTGGCTAGGTCCACCGTAAGTTCAAACAGTCGTTAAGCAACCAATTGTAAGTCGAGGACTATCTGTACGCACATATCCCTCCTGTACACTGGCTTGATGAAGGGTGTTGCTTGGACGCAGCTGATCAGCAGCTGCAGCAGTCGCCTTCCCTTAGCCAAGCCAGCCTCATAGAATCACTTTAGACCAGTGATGGCGATCCTTTTAGAGACCGAGTGCCCAAACTGCAACCCAAAACCCACTTATTTATTGCCGGGTGCCAGGTGGGCATGGCCCACTGGGTGGGCATGGCTGTGTTGGTCATGACAGACTGGATGGGTGTGGCCAAGGTGGGCATGGTCACCTCTATGTTGCTCGTGGGGAGGGACACCTGTGGGGGCCGGGCAGGGTTGGGGGAGATCCAGGGGGTCTCTGGCAGGTGAGGTGGTGGGACCTCAGTGAGTTAGTGGGCGGCTGGTTGAAGAGGGATGGTTGCCATCTCTGGGGCATGGTGCACGTGCCCACAGAGAGGGCTCTGAGTGCTGCCTCTGGCACGCGTGCCATAGGTTCGCCACCACTGCTTTAGACAGACAAGGCCGACAGACAGACAGACAGACAGACATACCCATCGTCCTACTGCCTTATAGAGAAAGCTGCATTCTGCTTTCTTCCCAACCCCTTCTCATTCATTCCCTCTTAATGTCCAAACCACACACACATATCCCATATTCATTCATTCATTCATTCATTCATTCATTCTTTCATTCATTCATTCATTCATTCATTCATTCATGCTCTTTATTGTTCTTTTCCCTTACATTCCAAGTCACCATCTTCCATCTGTGGTCACCCACAGATGGTCATCTATGGGCCCATAGAGCTTGACCTCTGCTCCCAGTTGTGGCTTTGGTCAACTAAGTCAACTCTCGCATCGTATTTTCAGTAAAGACAAAAAGGGTAACTAAGTGACCAGAATTCCCTGGAGGGAATATTCAGTAAGGACAGGATTGGTAGGTGTGTATGCTCACACTGTTCTAAGGCAAGCCAGGTTCTCTGCTGTAGAGTCCACCTTGCGAGCCAACACAACAGTTGCTCATTTACAAAGAAGCCTATGTAGTTTATGCTGACCCACAGCCAGAATGTAAAGAATTGTCCTGAGGACAGAATGGGGAGAAGAGCAGGACATTAGAGTCACCTCTAGGCAAGATGGGAGTTATAAAAAATTTAATAAATAAATTATATCCCTCTTTGACAAAGGCAGGACACCACATCTAAGCAACAGGAATCCAGAAAGAAATACGGGCATCCCCTCTCTATCCATGGATCTCCGGATTGTAGGTTTGGTACCATTCCACTTTCCTGTTTCATGTCCTTCCCTCTTTCCCCATCCTCCTTCTTTCTCTGCAGACGGTGTACGATGAATGGTTCATCACCCTTTACAACATGGTATACACCTGTTTGCCAGTGCTTGGAATGAGCCTCTTTGACCAGGTAAGACTCGCTCATGGTGCTTTTGCGAGGTTTCAGTCCATGAAACTGAAGGAAAAGCAATAGAAAAAGAAGACTCCCTCACCGGGCCCTTTTCCATGACACAGTCTCATTTATAGATTATAGCAGATATCTTTAACATTATTTTCTGAGCCCAATAAGTCCTAAATTTCTCTCCAATGATCCACTAATACACTTGTTTCTTTCTGGTGTCCTCTAGTGACCAGCCTTCAAAGTCACCCTATCTCTCTATCTATCTCTCTATCTATCCATCCATCCATCCATCCATCCATCCATCCATCCATCCATCTACCCATCCATCATCTATCTATCTACCCATCCATCATCTATCTATCTATCTGTCTGTCTATCTATCTATCTATCTATCTATCTATCTATCTATCTATCCATCCATCCATCCATCCATCCATCTACCCATCCATCATCTATCTATCTATCTATCTATCTATCTATCCATCCATCCATCCATCCATCCATCCATCCACCCATCCACC